GGGGGAAAGGACTAGAAGGTTAAAGAAAATTATCTTACATAATAATGATGGACAATTAAACATCTATACAAATAAAGAAGAAGTAATGGGGGCAGAGCTGACACTTGACCCTCACTCTTCTGAATTGGTCAAAAGAAGGAAGAATATACTCACAGAGTTACTTGGGTACAGAAATACTCTACACTCAATGAAGAAACAGGAGGGGAAGGGGAGAAGGGAGGAGGGGAAATTAATGAGATAGTAGATTAAAGGAAGAGATTAGTCCTCAGCAAAATGAACTCTAAGGAGGTACAAAAATATTTATAGCTCTTTTTTGAAGGGGTATAGAATGGGAATTATGACCACTTCAAAATGGTGGCTATCAGAAGTGATTTTGAGTTGGAGTGAATTACACTCATCATGGTTTTTTTTTTCTTTAAGAGAGAAATAAGAAGTTTATATCATAAGTGGAAATCTCTCCATTCTCCTCTCTGCCTCCTAGCTTCTCTCACTTTCTTCAAATCTCAGCTAAAATTATACCTCCTAAAAGAAGCCCATGTTAATCTTAAGGCCTTCCCTTTGAGATTATCTCCAATTTATTAAATTTACCCCACATATACCCTATTTATACATAGCTTTTGTATGTTTTCTCCTCCATCAGACTGAGCTTATTGAGAACAAGGACTGTATTTTTCCTTTCTTTGTATTCCTAGTACTTAGCACAACATAAGGCACATAATAGCTACTTAAGAAATGTGTATTATCTGACTGAAATTCCTTCCAGTACCACTTAACCCTCTGTACTGCCATCAAATTTTGTTTTGTATTTCTTGCCTTTAGACACTTTCATAACACTGTAATTATTCATTATAGGATAGTCAAGCCAATTCCAGGTTGTGTTTATATGAGGAAATTTATTCTGGGATATTAATGTTGGTTTCCCAAACTACAGCAATACATACATACATACATATATGTATGTACGTGTGTATGTGTACATGTGTATGTATGTGTGTGCGCATATATATGTATATATTATGTGTGTGTGTGTATATGTATATATATATACACACATACACACATATACACATATATATGAAATCTATCCTAGTCAGGGAAACTCTTGTCTTGGAGGATGTCCAAAGAGGTAGGTTTTTTGCCAACTGTGAAACACGAATCTGAGATTGGGATGAAAGTCAAGACTACCAAAGAGGCTCCATTGAGTGCTGGACTCTCAACAATTCAGAGTTAACCCATGTTTCACAATTGGTAGTAGTAAGCAATCTCCTATTATTTGATCATTTAGAGAAAAAAAATCATTTTCTGCAATGCCAAAATGGTTATTCATCATTTATATATAATGTTCATATAATGACTGCTAATTCATGCAATATCCTCCACATATTTCTATCCTTATACTGTTCCCTTGAATCAAATATACTATTAGACACAAGTTACATGTATGTAGGAAAAAATAACTATTCCTGTGATTTACAAGATTACTGAACCACTTTCAAATTCTTCTTATAAGGAATATGACAACATTGAAAATTTGCTTTCATGTTGTACATACTTTGGTGAAATGATGCTTTAGTATATGACTTCTGATTTTTCTATAACCCCACGAGGATGAAGTACAATACAACATAGTTAAATAGTGAATTCCATACCACAGCAGTGTGTAATAACAGATCTGAATGTAAATCTATAAATATCATTTCCAGGTTGAAATGTACTTCAGATACAAACCAGATAAATGTTATATGATGATAATATATGTTGGTAATGTTTATGTTATCAATTAATTTTACAGTTGAACTAAATCCTAAAGTCTCTGTTTTGTTTTTAAAACAAAGAATTCATTTACATTTAAATTTTTTTTTAAATTAAAGAACTACAAAACAGATTTTTTCTTCTTCTCTTTTGTTACTACTATAATAGTGGCTAATTTTAGGTAATTTTTTTGCTTTCACTTTGCTTTCATTTTGCCTGTTTTAATTTGGCCTAATACAAGGGTAATTTAAGTGATCAGAGTGTACTTTTTCTAATTGGCAAACAGATTTTAAGCTAACATCCTTACTGTAAATGAATTTTTTTTCTTTTTTCCTTTTTTTTTTAAGGCAATTGGGATTAAGTGATTTGTCCAGGGTCACACAGCTAGTAAGTGTCAAGTGTCTGAGACTGGATTTGAACTCAGGTCCTCCTTGACTCTAGGGCCAGTGCTCTATCCACTGTACCACCTAGCTGCCCCTGTAAATGAATTTTAATAATATACCTTGTTTTGCTTTCATATCTAATGACAATAGTTTGACCTGCTGGAGATATGTACATAACTGAATTAATCAATTTATCTTTTAAAATGAGATTTCAGAAATTTTGCTGCTAAATCAGATTTATTTTTACTCTGAGAAATTATCCATGTGCCTTTCCCAAAAAAAAAAAAAAATTGTAAGGCACAGGTAATTTTTTTAAAAACACATCTGCAGATGGTCACAATGCCAGCCAGCTGCTGCTGCTGCCCATTAAGGAATAGAGCTATCTATTGTAATAATATATGTGAGAGTTTTAGGAAGGATAAAAGGGAGAGATAGACAGAGAGACAGAGATAGAGAGACAGAGACGGGGAGACAGAGAGAGAGCCTGAAACAGACACTAGGCTTTAGGCCTATGTGTTACACTCTGCAGTTTTAAAACTAAGTGAACTCTTCTGAAACTCTTTCTAAGGTCATAAAGATGATAGGATCTCTGAATACCTGATAAGGTCACATACACAATTTCAAATACATTTGAGGTAAATCCATGTGACACATCTCATAGCCAAGAAGCTGTCTATGCCCTGAGGATAGTCTGTGCAATCTTCATTAAATGTTCTGTATGGTTATAAGGGCAGCAGGAGTCATCTGAAGAATTTCAGAGTTAGGAAATTTTAGCAATTGTTCACACTTACATTTGAAATTATAGCTTAGGAAGTGATAAATAAGTAGCTCTGGCTGGTGAATGCACTGAACAAGGACAGAAAAGTTAGCTTTGAAATAAATAAAGGGATTCAGGCTCAGATGATGATTGCCCCATTTTTAAAGCAGGGCTACCTCACTCAGAGACTCAGAGTGGAGGCTGAGACTTGAAAAAAAAAAAAGCCCCAGGTGATTTAAATCTAGTTTTAAAATCAACATAATCACCAAGATTCTTCCCTTGTAAGGGAGTAATTTTTTCAGGTCTCTGAACTACCCTGTTGAGCCATTTATATGCCATGAGAGTAATAATATTGAAAATACTTGAAGAAAGATTTCCAAGTTTTTTTTTTTCCACATACCCCCCCCACCCCATCAATTAGTTGATGAAATGGCTCTTCAAATCCCCTTTCATATATTAAGCTTTCATTTGTTGCGGGTTTTTTAAAATTACCTCCTAAGATGATAATTTGAGAAGTAGTATGCTGAAATTCTCTTTCATATAACAAATTGTCAGTTGTTCTCAAATGTAAAATAATGACTTAAGGGAAAAAAAAACTACCCAAGTCCTAGATAAGGTATTGCTATATCATTTGGGAATATAAAGATGACTTCCTTTCCATAAGACCAGAAAGAAACATGTGTTAACAGGTTAAAATGTATATTTGCATTATTCTAACTTTTAGAAACATGTTATCTATATGTAAATACACATTTATAAATATATATGCACACATGAGGGAGAGAGAGAGAGTGCGCGCATGAGAGAGAGAGAGGTGGAGTAGGAGGAGGAGGAAGAGAGGAGGAGCAGCATGATGTCTAAAGAGCCAATGTCAGAGTCAGGAAATTTTGGTTTAAGTCTTGTCTCCGACATACACATATACATATATGTATGTATGTATGTGTGTAGACTGTGTGACCCTGAACAAATCACTTAATATCTTAGTGCTTCACAGATATCACTAAGGTTTCAGAGTAATTGCCTATATTCATTGGTAAATTATGTATATCTAAAGAAAGTTTAGGCTACTACCTTCTTTATGTACCCACTGCCCAAGTTCTAGTACTTACGTTGTTGGGATCAGCAATTTACCCAAATCCAGAGATACCTACAAGCAACATGGCCCCTACTGGATATACCTGAGAGGATCCATTTTTAAAGCAAGAATCTGTATTTCGCATCTGAGACCAAAAATGTGGTAAATGATTACACCCAATTTAAGACCAGTAAATTTTGATGCAAACATATACATTTTTTGTGGGGTGACTATAATGTCCCTGGAGTGGCCACTGACTTAACACAAAAGTTGTCTATTTAGAAGGCATTTGATGCTAAAGAGTGAGAGAAACCAGCCCCCAATGTCCTAAATTATCATTTCTAGCTACAAAGCATACTATAATGTGTTCCTAGTTATTAAAGAAGGAAGGATCTTTTCTTTTCCTCTTCTCCCAGAATCTGCATGTGAACTTACTGTGCTATTTTTTTCTAGTTTGAACAAAAAGCTACTGTCTTGTAGTTGTAGCTATCACCAATATATTCCATGTTTTCCTAAGCAAAGAAAAAAAAAACTCACAAAGAACCACTACTTTGTGGTGGGAAGAATTGTGAAAGTCCCTGCATGCAGTCCTACCCAGGACTGGCTCATCAAATAGAACTTTAAAGACCTTTACCACTTACATGCAAGCATACACACACATATGGCCATATATCACTTCAGTTGGTTTAATGTGCAGAAAGATATTATTCATTCCACTTCATAAACTTAACAAAAGAATTCACTCTATGAATTTGTGCAAAAACATTATGTAACTAACAGGTTGGCGAGAAAGGTTTATTGTGGTGTATCCCAATAATATCTTGAAAAAAGAATAACTGGGGTGGGGAGAAAGACCTCTAGTTCAACAACAACAACAATAAAAAATTAAACTGATAAATGAAAATATTTGTGTGTTCAGCACAGGATTGTTCTGTCTTGCAAATTATACTTTAGCTATTAAATCTGAGATGTAGGAAACTCAAGTTAAAGAGAAGTGAGCAGTAGCTAAGAGAGTTTTCATTTTCTTACTCACCCACTGGAGACATTTCTGGGACACTAGCAACATAAGGTCCATCCAAGAACTTTGGCTCATTATCATTAATGTCCTGCACTTTGATGATGAATTCTGATTCAGGCTCCAGGGGCTTCCTGGTATGTATGTCCACAGCCTGAGCACGGAGAGTATAGAAAGGTTTTTCTTCTCGATCAAGGCTTCTTATGGCATGAATGTCCCCTGTGGTTTCATCAATGGTAAAAACTGTGCCAGCTCCATCTCCTGAGAGGGTGTATTTTACACTGCCCACTCCTTTGTCTAAGTCGGAATGAAGCTTTATAGTAGAGAAACAGAAAAAAAAGAGAGATAATAAAATCATTAAAGGAATATTTCTAAATGAGAGACATCATTTACAAAAAGCTTTGAAAAATCATTTTTCACTCAAGTAGAAGTTTAAAACCATTAATTCATCCACCCTATTATCCTTCTTTATACAGAATTCTGAATTATAGAGCTGAAAAGGATCTTCAGATTCATATTTATTCCTAATAATCTCTCCCAACTTGGGAAAGATTTTATTTTACCTTTAGATCAAGGAAAGAAAAATTACCTTTTCCACAATTTGAGAAGTGTGAAAATGGTCACCATGTAGGAATAGGAGACAGCATTTCATGACTAAATCTGCTTTTCTGGCCAGGGGGTGGAGATGGGACAATGGAATGAATAAGAAGTTTCGCCCAATCATTAAATTCAATTTAATTCACATTCATGAAATGCTTAATATGAGTTAGTAAAGTTCAGTAAGGGCTAAGGAAGATACAAAATTTCTAACTACCTACTTTCATGGAGTTTGTTATCTAAAAGAACTAATACACATTTTTCTAGCAACTTAATCTTTTTGACCCAAAAGCCTAGACTAGTAAACTTGCAAAGGGATGTAGGACTAAGGACTAAGCTTGATGGTTCTGTGAGAGCAAATATTTCAGCTATGAATATTCTGCCAGATTGATAGGCAGTCTTACTTAATTGTGCTAAAAGTAATGATAGGGATAAACACTGGACTATTGATATATGAAAGACTATCTTTTAATATGAGAAACTCCCAGATGACAAAACTCCCTCAACCAATGGAGGAAAGCACTTGCTCTGTAATTTATAGTTCTAGAATTTCTTAAAATACCAAGAGGCTAAGTGACTTACCCAAAGTCACACAGCCAATGTCAGAGGCTGGATTCGAACTCATTTATTCCTAGCTCAAAGAGTAGCTCTCTAAACACTACACCAAAAATAAACATGGAAAATTTATGACATAAATAATTATTTAAATACAGAATCCCTATTTTACATATAGGGGAGGGAGATAAGCTGACACAGATTATGGCTAAGGGTCTTATCTAAAATCACACAAACTAACTGGAACAAAACAAAATAAGGAAAAATCCTGATGATCTCCAGATATGAAGCCATCATGCAATGCAATAGACCATGCTGTTTTCTAAATCATTCTCTTTTCTTTCAAAGTCAGCCTCTGTCCAGATTTGGAGAACAGAAGGTCTGCATGTTTTCCTGAAGAAGAAGAAAAAAAAAACACACACACACATCCAACTAAACCTGGAATCAAAGACCTGGATTTGACTATCAGAGCCATGTCTGACTTGCCATGTGACCTTAAGCAAGTCATTAAACCTTGCTGAGCTTCAATTCTCTCCTTTCTAAAGCAGGATTCAAACATCTGTCCTCGTCTATGCTTGTAAGGTTCAAATGAGATTATAGGTATATATGCATATGATATGTATATGAGTACTTTGCGAAATGAAAAAAAATAGTATAGAAATTTATGGTGGTGTTGTCATTGTTACCACCACTGTCAATTGCTATGTGTTTGTTCCTACAACAACATATGAAAGGAATGAATAAAGAGAAGACTGGGAGAAATATTTTCTCTGTCATGCCATAAATGATGTTCTAGATGGATTCCTGAGCAAATCTTAGCTATGGATAAAGGATGGGAATTCTTAAGCATAAAATCAAGGCAAAGATAAAAGTTCTTTGAACTCAGTGATTTTAAATTGCAATATTCCATACTACTACTGAGTATGAGTATTGCCAATCCAAACACTGAGCAGAGTTTACTTTAGCGTGTGATCAATTTGAAGACATGGGACAGGCAAAAGCTCAGTGCAGAACTGATGAGTTTTTACAAACTGGATTCAATTTGCCAAAGGCTCTTGAGAAATATGGTAATAGAGTAGGAACTTAGTCAAAATCCTCAGTAGGTTCTGAAGATACCATACAAATGTTGACATTTCCCTTCTGTCAAAACCAAGGCCATTTTAGCCCAAACAGATCGAGAAATGGCAAAACAAATATGTTTCATTGTTTGCCCCAGATTCAAATGAAATTCGATTTTGATATTGCTGTTATCTTTGCTGCTCCCAACACTCAATATCTTAAAATTTATTCAAAGCTAAGATTTATATGTATTGCTGTCTCAGAAGAGAATGCTTAATAGTATGTTAAAGATTAGCAAATGAAATGAGGATCATTCATGCAAAACACATGGGAGGATTTGACCATCTCATAGCAGCTTAAAACAGTAGGCTGGTTAAATAGAGATATATAGTACCCAGGGTAGAGATGTAACAATATAGCTACATAGCAATGACTATTCTAGTCACTTAGAACATGTGTACTTGACCACAAGGTTAACTTTTCTATTAAGTATATTCTATAATGAATTCTAATATGCCAGAAAGTCATCCTGGTTAGCATTTTGATAATTTTGTTAGATGTAAATAGCAAGGACTGTATTGTGATAATGATTGACTTTTTATTCAAAGAGTAGAAATAGAAAAAATCAAGAGAAATGTTTTGTAGGTTAAAAATTTTGAATTATCATTAGCTAACATTGATTTTAGATAGATCAACTGGCTTTTCCAGGCCTCAGTTTCCTCATTTGTAAAATAACAGGGTTGGCCTATATGATCCCCAATGTCTTTTACAACTTTCAAAATTCTGTAATTCTATGAATGACTTTTAAAAAGCACCTTTAATTATGATTGTTTATTTTGTGTCCTCCTACTCAAAACATATATATAAAGCCATTTTCTTAGTGTGTTGAATAGTTGAAAATGAATAGATTTTCTATCTAGACTTCGAAGCTTACCATATATTCAATTAAAATACTTCATAAATAACTCAGAAAATCAATGATTACTGGCTTTACCGGCTTTACCAAAGTGCATCCTTTAGTAGAAGGCTTCCTGTGTTACTGAAGGGGGAAAAAAGGAACTCAGCATCCATACTTTTGGTGATGAAATGCTCTGAAATTAACTAAATTGATCTACAGATGACAGCTCAAAGCTTGACTTTTTATTTAAATATTTTTTTAATCTATTTTGCCTTGCTAAAGTATGAATTATGCTGGTGTAGACCCCAATAATCTAAGCTTATCTCCACGTTCTGTTGAGCATCAGAAGAAATTTTCAGTGGCGACAATTAGCATTCCTGACTTATACCTGAAAGTCAATAATCTTATTCTGAGAAACTGTGTATATGTAACATGGCCTACGTGGTTACATCCATTCAGTTCTGGAGTAGAATTGGTTCATGTTTTTTTCATTCCTTAATTTCACTTGATTCCATTGCTGAGAGAAAAATTCCTGTAATATGAATAAGAAGCATCTCAAATATCTTTCAGGCTATTCTTGGAAAACTGAAAAAAATTGCCAAGAATTATCCTTAACTTTAAATTTTGTCAATAGCTACAAAACTACAGTAATTCAACAGTTCCTTTACATTAGATATAGAGTAAGCCAGTCATTTCATAACAACATGAACTGTTGTCCTGATAGCAATTTAAAAATCACAAGAAACATCTTATATTATTAACAAAAAAATCTCTTCGTAAAAATGTGCTCTGTGGGAGTACCTGTTGTATATATTATCATAGTGCAACTGGCAGCTCCAATAACACCATCTGACTGTGTTGATATTTGACATCATTCCCTTTCTAGCCTCCAAAAAAAGTTGTACAGATGATGAATGTAGAGATATGTGGTGTCCAGACAATTTTGTTAGAAGTGGTGATGTTTTGTTGATGATTTCCAAGTCGGATCAGATGGTGCATGGAAAAAAAAAAAAGATGCCAATAGAGGCTCAAAAAGGAGATTCAAGATTTACTTTAGAGTACAAACTGAACTTTAATTTCATTGCTTAAGAAAGCAACTTGGTCTACAGAGTTAAGTACTCAATAGTTTGATTCTGATTTGAATTTTAGAAATTGTACTGCCCAAGACAAAAAGGAAATTCATTCATATTTTCTTTGAGGTGAAAGTGCGCACACACACACACATACATATACATACACACACAATATATATATACATATATATACATATATATATCTTGTTGTCAAATAGTAATTCTTGGACTTTTAAAAATTATGTTTTTATTTTTTTGTGCAAAAATAAGGCATTAGCCTTTATACCTAAAATTTTAACTAATCATACATTTTTCAATAATTACAATTTAGAATACTGAGCCATTGAGAATATTTAACTCTTTTGTTTCTTTTTTGCTATTGTTGATGACATTGTTTTTGTAAATTCCACAATTTGGAAAGCCCAAGTTGAGTCAACAAGCATTTATTAAGGGCCTACTATGTGTCAGATTTTGTGCTAAGTGTAGAGGATTAAAAAAAAAAATCTCTGCCATTAAGAAGCTAAAAATCCAAATGGAATGAAAATATGCAAACCACAACAACAACTTAGTATAAACAAGATGTTTACGAGAAAAAAATGGGGATAATCTTAGGCAGAAGACTAACATTAAGGAGGATGGACAAGGCTTCTTCCTCAGAGTGGGGTTTTAGCTGAGATTTGAAGGAAGCTAGGGAAGTTAGCAGATAGAGGTGAGGAGAGAGAAAATTCCAAGAATGGGGGGATAGCTAATAAAAAGGTATGAAGTCAAGAGATACAGCGTCTTGGGAAAGCAGCAGTAATGACTAGATTGTAGAGCATGTGGAGGGGAGTAAGGTATAAAAATCTAAGAAGTGTCCAGATTACAAAGGCCTTTAAAATCTAAACAGAATTTTATATTTGATCCTGGAGGAAATAAAGAGTAACTGGAGTTTTTGAATAGAGAAGTGACATGATCATAAGTATGTTTTATGAAGATTACTTTGTTAGCAGAGGATGACTTTGAGTGGCAAGAGGCTTGAGGCAGGGAGACCAACCAGAAATGGTCTTCAATGGACTTCAAATGGACTTCAATGGTCCAGGAATGAGTTTTTTAAACCAGGATGAATTTATTCCTAGTTACTTAAATTAGGCC